CCTCAACAATGAGAGATTACACTGAGCCTCGTACTGGCGCATATATCCCCGCCAGAGAACCCTCCTAGCTAGAGGGAGCAACGGAGGTGGTACATACGGATCTAATGGTGGTAGAGGTGGCTGCAACTGGAGGAACCGCTCCCAGGCCCAAACCTAACATAAAATGCTGACGTAAAATTTAAGATATATTTTTACTAGGTATGTTAAAATGAATAGGGTATTCGAATATGCTGTCACCTGTAGTAGCGGAAAAATCCAGCAACGTCACGCTGGGTGCCCATGCTCGCCTGGCACATCTGCCTGTACAAGTAGCCGAGAACAGCAGTGCCCCAGCTGTACTGGGGTAAATCATCTAGCCGCTCAAGATGATGAAGAAATCGCAAGCTGACTAGGTTCCCCGAAGTGTTCGGGAACAAAACTCCTCCAAACGTAAGGAGTAGCAGCAACCTCGTCTACCGGTCAACATGATAATTCGATATATTGGCATCGATTCAGGATGCAATGCCTCCAACCACTGTCGAATAGTCGTCAACGAAAAACGACTGGTCCCAGCCAGTACATTCTCATCCTCTGGTCGGAAAGCAGTGAGCCGCTGCAGCATGTCCAGGTACTGCACACGTGTCATCTCTCTCATGCCAGGCGGCAGAGCAACGAGGTGCTCATCAACGGGCAACCCATATAAAGCCTCCACGTCCTGGAGTGTGATGGTGGCCTCGCCAATGGGCAGGTGGAATGTGTGTGTCTCCAGTCGCCACCACTCTATCAGGGTCGTGACCAAAGATAGAGTTTGTGTTTGATCTATCAGTTATTTTGACGTATTTTTGAGTATAAGAGATACTTATACTACAAGAAAAGTACGCTAAAAGGCACTACATTTTACTACGCTGAAAGGCACTACATTATACTACGCTAAAAGGCACTACATTTTACTACGTTAAAAGGCATTACATTTTACTACCCTAAAAGGGCACTATATTACTAGTCTTTAAGCAAATAAATAATATAAACCAGATAAAACACAACAAATACATTGTAATCACAAAACATTCACAAAAATACATATAAAACAATAATAGTAATTTATTAACATTTTTATTAACAAATAATAACAATTTCACAATTTTTACATATTTTTTAAGAACATTAATATCTTAGTCCGGATAAAAATAACATACAAATTTAATAACTAAAAAAACACAAAACAACATGGAACACATCAAAACAACTAATATGCATTATTTATACGAGTTTGGACATAAACTAAATCGGAATACCTCGATTTATGTTTTTCGGAAAGTTGAAGATCTGAAAATTTTACTCCGAAACAAGCAACCCACAATAATAGAAGACTTGGCTAGGATGTGGGACCAACTTTGATTAGTTTTTGTGGGACGGGTAGGGTCCACTCGAGTTTTTATCTTTTTAATTGGGGGGGGGGGGGGGGGGGGCTCNGCCAGAAATAGTGGCGCTATATATTAACGGTAACAGCACCGTTAATATATAGCGCCACTATTTCTGGCGATATACACTGTCAGAGTGATATAGCGCCAGAAATAGTGGCGTTATATCCCTCACCAAAAAACCCTCCATCTTCTTCCCCCGTCTTCTTCTTCACCATTATTCTAATCCCCACTCCAAAAATTGGTCCCCCACTGTCCGCCATTAAAAAAAAAAAAATTTGGGTCCCCCCGACATATAAAACTTGGAGAACGTAGGTCCCACACTCGAGTAGAGCTTCTTGTTATTGTTGATTCACGCTTCCGTAGTCAAATTTTCGATCTATTTGCTTTCCGAAAATTCTAAATCGAGGTATTTCGATTTATTTTAAGTTGAAACTTATATAATAATGCATATTATTTGATTTGTATGTGTTTTATTTCGGTTTGTGGTTTTATTTTCGAAATTAGCATCTTAAATTTATCCGGATTTAATTTTACCGTTTTATATAAAAATATAAATTTGTCAAATAAATTTGTCTGTTAATATTCTCATTTATATATATGTGCTTTCATGCCGTTTTGTGTTTTATTTTGCAATTAAATTTATTTGTTGTTTATGTTTAGTTTAGATTATTTTTTAGCGTAGTAAAATCTAGACCTTTTTAGCGTAGTAAAACGTAGACCATTTTAGCGTAGTAAAATTTAGAGCCTTGTAGCGTAGTAATGTGTAGTATTTTAGCTTAGAATTCCTTTTGTTTTAGTATCTATTACTGGTATTTTGATCCTCAAAATATGGAGCCCGGAACCCATACGTAAGTAATTTATACAATTAAGTTATTAAAAAATATGAATTTCAATTATAAAAAAAATACATAATATTAGATAATGGTGCCTCAAAATATGGAGCCCGGAACCCATACGTAAGTAATTTGTACAATTAAGTTATTAAAAAATATGAATTTAAATTATAAAAAAATACATAATTATTAATGATAATTTGGTGCCACCGGGCCTCACAATATCGAGCCCGGAATCCATACGTAAGTAATTTGTACAATTAAGTTATTAAAAAATATGAATTTAAATTATAAGAAAATACATAATTATTAATGATAATTTGGTGCCACTGGGCCTCAAAATATCGAGCCCGGAACCCATACGTAAGTAATTTGTACAATTAAGTTATTAAAAAATATGAATTTAAATTATAAAAAAGTACATATAGCCGCGGTGCCTCAAAATATCGAGCCCGGAACCCATACGTAAGTAATTTATACAATTAAGTTATTAAAAAATATGAATTTCAATTATAAAAAAAATACATAATTATTAATGATAATTTGTACAATTAAGTTATTAAAAATTATGATTTTACAGTTGACGACATGGATGCGCCTATACATCCCGGCCCTCGGACGTCGGATCTATTAGCCCTACAGCCCCAGCATAGATCCGAGTATATCTGGGAGGGACAGTTGCTTACAACGACTTTTCGGGCCAGGAGAGTGGATCTACTATGGGAGTTTTTGAGTCCTCCCCGCGTTCTACATCCCCGCGTGGTCCATCACTTGGAGGAGATGGGATTTTATAGGATTATTAGGATTGGTCGGATACAGCTCGACTATGCTTTGATCACGGCCATGATTGAGCAGTGGCGACCGGAGACGCACACTTTCCATCTACCCATTGGCGAGGCCACCATCACACTCCAGGACGCAGAGATTTTATATGGCCTGTCCGCTGATGGCTTGCCTGTTTTACTCCCTACGACCATGAGATATTATCCGCGGGAGGCATATTGGGATATGCTGCACATGCTCACTGGTTTCATGCCGGAGGACCAGGAGGTAGCGTCTGGGGTCAGTCGCATACAGTTAGTCCCCATTAGAGACCACCTGGTGCAGCTCCACGATACTATCACCGACGAGTCAGCGGAGGTGGATGTGCAGCGATACATGAGGCTGTTGCTGCTCCTTCTATTTGGGGGGGTCTTGTTCCCGAACACTTCGGGGAACCTAGTGAGCCTCCGTTTTCTGCATCATATCACCCGGTTCGAGGATACAGCTAGCTACAGCTGGGGTGGTGCTGTCCTCTCATTTTTGTACAGGCAGATGTGTCGGGCTTCCATGGGCACACAGAGAGACGTTTGTGGCTTCCTGTCGCTTCTACAGGTGACAACATATTCAACGAATATGTCCGTTAGTTACAATTCTACTTAGTTATAGTTTATCTGACACTATACATCAACTTTCTATGTTAGGTTTGGGTCTGGGAATGATTTCTGCAGCTTCGGCCACCTTTACCACAGCTACCGGCTAATGTAGACATTCCGAATCTCCCTCTAGCTTGTAGGTGGGTTATGCGTCGTAGACTTGAACGAGAGTATGATGCCCATCATAATCTCCCCCGCATCAGGGATGTCTTGGATTTGTTGGAGGACACACAGGTGAATATCTAACTAAACGTACCAGTTATTGTTTAATTTAGTGTTGCGCATACTAACGGTTTGTGTTGTTATTTGATAGTTCATCTGGACGCCGTACAGCGAGTTGGTGATAGGAACCCTGCCAGCGTATTGTACGTTCGGCCGACATATTTGGAGGGCTTCTGTCCCTCTCACATGCCTCGATATTGTGGAGCATCATGCCTCAGAGCGGGTTTTTCGTCAGTTTGGCCTGCCGCAGCCTATACCGACTCTGCCTGCATGGCATCCTTTACATTATGAGAGGGATGATCGGTCTAGGGTGGACGGCACATTTATTGACTGGCTTAACGCCCAGCTGGCTATTTGGGACAGGCGAGGTGACTTAAACCCACCTCCGCAGCACCTTCCTATTGAAGGTTATATGGCATGGTACCGCACTGTTTCCCGACTTTTTATCGGGAACCCAGTTCATCAGGCAGAAGGTCGGTACGTCTCATACGCCGGGAGACACGAGGCTCTGGTATGTTTTCTGTTATAATTAATTATATACCTGTAATTTCGTGCCAAATACGTAGTTTAAATTCTTTACTTTTGTGCAGGCGATTGGATTGTATACCGTCTATCGTATGGGGCAGCAGATGCAGAGTTATGTCCACGATCCTGTGGTCATGCAGGACTACAGTCGTCGATTCATGGATTTGGCTGCCCAGACACTGCAGCGAGCCCGATCGGATCAGCGTTTGGCACACGAGGCTGATTATATTGACCCAGCCACGTACCAGCGAGGTCGTGGTATCCCACGAGGTGGTGGTGCCCGACGACCTGCTGGTGCCCGACGAGCTGCTGGTGCCCGACGACCTCGTGCTGCCCGAGGAGGTGGTGTTCAGCAGGGGGGCCATGATGCTCCTGATGATGATGTTGCTGCTGATATGGCAGGTGGCATGCATGAGACTGACATGCCGTTTTACAGCCTGGGAATTTTTGACACTCCAGTGCCATCACAGATGACCCCATCGGGTCAACTATTGATCACGGGCTCGGATTTTCAAGGAGCGGATTGGGGTAGATATTTCCCTGGCCCGTCTACCACTGATGAGGGTCGACCGACCCGAGATTTATTTAGTGGGCGCCGACAAGTTATGGCAGCTCTTCACATGCGCAGGTATGAGTTTATTAGTATTGAATTTGAATTTGTTTTAACTATAACTTATTTATTTTGTTACACTATATTAATTTCCTTTTTTCAGGCTTCATGTGATGCTGCGACAGATGACTACATTCAGGATCCAGACACGATTATGGTAAGATAATTTAAATTGTTATGAATTATTATGTAGTTTTCTAAACTAAGTTTTATATTATTATGTAGCATTCTACTGGACCTGACAGCACCATCGATACATGTCATCCTGCGCCGCATCCGGCTATAAGGAGAAAACTTGATGATGATGATCCTGATAGCGTACCCGGGCGGGAGGGGATACGCCTCAGGCCGACGGCTACATTGAGACACACCGGATGCAGGACACATTGAGTCGGCCTTCCTTTTTTTTTATTTGGTGTAAATAATATTTTTGTACATATTAACAACAATATTTAATCGAATATGTCCATTACTTTTTTTAGTTCTCCATGTGTTTTATTGTTTCGTATAACAACACAAGCATTTAAACTTAAATGCCACTTCAATTAAAATAAATTTCAGTACAACAAACAAGGAAAACATAACAACAACACAACACAAACATAACATGCCAACATAATAAAAATACATAAAATATGAAAAATACACTAAGCACATACATGCCATTGATTAGTCTCGGCTGCCATTTATTCTCCGCTCCAACCACTTAAATCGTTGGTCCATTTGTTCTTTTTCTTCTTCTAACTCTTTCACTCTCGCCTTCACCTCCGCAAGTTCCCGTTTATATTTTTTTTTACGTTCCTTCTGTGCTTCACAATTCCATTCTGCTCTCCATTTTTCATCTCCTACCTGTTTTAGTTTCTCCCTTATTTCTGTAATAATTCTATCGCTTTCTCTTTGTACTCCCAGTTGGCATAACCACTTATTATGAAGAGATTGCAGTTGTTCTCTGTAGCATTCCTGATAACATGGTTCATCAACCCATTCATCAAACTCACACATAGGTTCGCCGGGAACCTTGTACAACTGGTTCATACAGTGCCAGTAGCGGCGTCCAACATCACGACCTTCCCAGCAACTGCTCATCACGCATGCTTTTCCACAGTAGCACATTGGTGGACGAAGAGGTTGAGCCATTTGTGAAATATTTCCTTTTAGTAAAAAAAATCTTTCTTTTAATGAAATATTTGCGTTTAGTAAATTTTGAGCACACAAAATGACTATAATGAGCCCGTTATTTATAGGCGAGAGAACACACACATAACGCCAGGTATAATGGCGCTATATTTCAGCTTTTTCAGTTCAACAAGACAACACACACATAACGCCACGTATAATGGCGCTATATTTAGCGTGTTAAATATCATGATGTTGACAAGACTGCTTTATGTCAGCTGGTCAGCTTTTTCAGTTCGACAAGACAACACACACATAACGCCAGGTATAATGGCGCTATATTTAGCGTGTTAAATATCATGATGTTGACAAGACTACTTTATGTCAGCTGGTCAGCTTTTTCAGTTCGACAAGACAATACACACATAACGCCAGGTATAATGGCGCTATATTTAGCGTGTTAAATATCATGATGTTGACAAGACTACTTTATGTCAGCTGGTCAGCTTTTTCGGTTCGACAAGACAACACACGCATAAAGCCAGGTATAATGGCACTATATTTTGCGTGTTAAATATCATGATGTTGACAAGATAACTTTATGTTAGCTAGGTCTAGCTTTTTCAGTTTCGACTAAGACAACACACGACATAACGCACGGTATAATGGCGCTATATTTTGACGTGTTAAATAATCA